GCTATATCCTTTGCACCGAAACTACTAAGCAGAAATATTAACCGTAAGTCATATAATTTATGAATTTCAAAATGTTGATGTCAGCCCTCGAGCTTTATCTTTTTAACTAATGGAGGAAATTAAAATGCAGGTTTGTCCTTCCTCAGATCAACATTGGCCCCGCCCGGGAGTCACTTAATTTAATAAGACTTTATATAGGACAACACATTTCAAGTGTTACTGTGTGAAACTACAATGCCCAGAGTTTAGATATTTTGCATGTAACAATGCTTTATGGACTCCAAAAACCGCTAGAAACAATATTTTCCCTGCCGCCCCAATGGTCAACTGATTTATATAGACTTATTTACGGAAAAACATTTAAGTCTTATTATGTAACATACAATGCCCAAAGATTAGAAAATAGGTATGTAGCATTGCATTGTTGTCAATTTCTTCATAAATTGATAGCAGCAATGTATATAGTACATATAAATGATATGAACGGCGTAACAAACTTGCTTTTTCAATCATATTTTACCTAGCCTGTTTTCTCTTATTGCAGTAAACAAGATACTGTTTCGTGTGGTGAACATTTATTTTCTTTCCCTGGATTTCTAACCACATGAAAGGATTATGAACAAACAGAAACAAACAATTATTGAAATAGTAAATTTTTCACTTTTTATTTCTTAACACATAATAATTCTGAAGCCAACAATAAAGAACACTTGTTAATTGTAATTAAAAACTTAATACATTATGGAAATGAAACCTTGAAACTTTAAAGGCACATTAAGCCTGAGAAATCTTCTTTTTTTCTTTCTTTTGAAATGACAAACATTTGTTTCATAATGTTGTAATAATGAACTAAGAAAAACATAATAAGTTGCTTATCATCTGAATAAAATTGCGCTGAATATGAAATAAATAGTGATAAAAATTAGCAAAATGTAAACAAAGTGGTGTTTTTGACTTTCAAACAAAATACTTATGCAGTATATAATATATAACTGTAGTGATTGCAAAAGAAGCAATAAAATTAATGATTTTGTCAGTGACTTACACTTTTGGAAACTGTAAAATGACATAGAAGATAAAAAGACTTTGGACAATCAAAATATTTACATATTTTAGGCTTAATGGGGGGCCTTTAACACATGACAGTGATACTTTACTGATAAATCTATACAAAATATTCCCGCCAAAACCAATATAAAGGGAACTCTAACAAAAAACATCGAAATGCCATGAAACCAAATTTTCAAACCAGAAACAACTTTTACTATCATTAACATCAGTGACCTTGACCAAAGGGAACCCAAAACCAACCTCAAGCGAGCTCTTCACATAAGCTTGCTTTATACCAAGTTTGATTACAAATATTGTTCCAAACTTTAACTACAGACTGGAAACCACCTGTTCGGCGCCCACTCGAGCGCCCGCCATTCGCCAATCTAATAACCAGCATTTTCAAAACTGAAAACCTGCTTATTTAACATGATTTATATAAAAATAATCACTCGGAGTAGACATATATACAATGTACGTAAATAATATGTTTTAAACATATAATAACGGAATATCTATATGGCACATATAAAGCTCCTGAGGTTCACCGGAGAAAAATATAAATATTGTATCAAAATATTTCTTATTAGTTCGCGATCTACGCAACGTGTTTTACAGAACACAAATAAATAAAGAAATATTCCAAGGCATATTAATAACATAACAATATCATCCACAATACTTATTAATCAAAGTCAATAACAGGCTTTATTCGTTGATGTACAGCATTAACTTTAAAGCGGAATGGTCTTGCATTGTCGCATTTTCAATAAGTATTTCAAATACTTATAAAAAAAAACAATAGAAATATATCCTTATATATCAATATAATGTATAAAATATGTAAAATATATTATTTTGTCATTCTTATAAAATATTTCTTGAAAAAAAATCATGTAAATGTTGGTAAAGTTCTAAGTGGTTAAGAATGAAAATTTGTATGATAATAGAAAACACTCATCATATACTCCTTAATTGACATTTAATTATTGACCAATTTACTTATAATGCGTAAGGCATAATTCTAACAAATAGATACTTAACCTAAAAAAATACATATACTATAAATATAGTGATACTTTCTCGAACGAGACGTTAATTCTGTGTGACAACTGATCGGATTTGGCATTTTGACTAGGATTAACCCACTACAATGTCGGAGGTATTTAAATCACTAGTGTTGGAGCGGTACCTCTAGACGCTTGCTGAAATTATGATCACAATGTACAAAAATACCGAATCTTACATTTTTCATTCATTATCGTATATAAATCGGTGTTTAGAGACAAATTAGACGTTTTAAAGTTGATTTCGTCAGTAAAAAGGCGAGATTTCAGCATTTAATCATTAAAGCGCTTTGTCTGGTATATACCGGATTATATACCGCCTCCGTGGTCGAGGGGTTAGAGTAGATGACTTCTAATCAAGTTACCTCTCTGGCGTGGGTTCGATCCCCGGGAGATGCTTTGGTAGTTTAGCGCGGAGGAAGGTAGTCTAGTACTGGTGTAACTCTCCAGGAACGATGGTTAGGAAACTACCCGCCTATATGACTGAAATACTGTTGGAAAAGGCGTAAAATGAAACAAACAAACAAACATATACCGGATTACGATATTTAGCGTGGTGCTCCAACACTCTCGGTAAAGTTACTATATATAGTAACTTGTTCAGGAAATCGAGACAAGGATTTATATTACACAAAAAAAAATGTGTTAAAAATTTCGCAAAAAACCAGAAAAACAAAACAATGTATTGAGCATAAATATCATAAACAATAAAAAATATTAGAAATGAACACTTAGATAAAATTCATATAATTTATGGCACAGTTTGAATATAGTTTGATACAAAAAAATACTCTTGGAAGGTTAAACTGTAAACATCCTTCCACGGTAATTACACAGCCTAAAACGCTGTTAAAATATCGTTTTAAAAAATATACCACCCCTTTACATTTTTTATCAAAAAGAAGAAATGCAGTTAAGTTTAGAAGAACAAACCTAGTTTCAGTCAAACAAATACAACTTAATATATTGAGATAAATATAACAAACTATTATAATTGAAACCTAGAATTTCTTAAATGTTTCACAGGTAGATCAACTAACAGTATATATACATGTATATATAATCAATATTTAACTATTTATAACATTTACCGTAAAAGTTTTGTTTCATTTTTTAATATACATGTATAAAATATAGACATGTAAATGCAGGCACCAATAAGAGAGTAAAGGCCAATGTATTGCGCATGTGCATTTTGAAACGACCCATTACAGCATCCACTGAAATGAAAAGGGTAAAAACACTTATTAGTATTTATAGAAATGTCTCTATATAATGAAATATTTCATCATATATATCCAAACAGTTCTGATAACATTCTCGTGATTATCGAGAACTCATTAATACCTTGAACTTTTCAAAAAGAGGCTGTACATGGTCCACCGGTGTACACATGGTTATGTAATTTGCATGGTGTAGTGGTGTACGTACATGGTCTAGTGTATGATGTAGTGATAAGTATGGTTCAGTGGTGCATGGTCTAGTAGTTAACATGGTCCGGTAGTGAGCATGATCCAATGGTTTACATGTAATATTAGAGTGCATGGTCTAGTAGGATACATGATCTGTTGGCGTACATGGTCTAGTAGTGTATATGGTCAGGTTGTGTACATGTTCCAGTGGTGAACATCTAATGGTGTATATATGGTCTAGTGGTGTACATGGTCTAATTAATGGTGTATATGATCCAGTGGTTTACATGGTCTAGTAGTGTACATGGACAAGTGGTGTACATGGTCTTGTGGCGTAAAAAGTCTAATGCCTAACATAGTCTAGTGGTGTATATGGTCTAGTGGTATACAGAGTACAGGTCTAGTGGTGTACATGATCTATTGGTGCACATGGTCTAGTGGTGTACGTGATAATGGTAAACATGATCTAGTGGTGTACATGTTCTAGTGGTGTATTTGGTCTAGTTGTGTACATAGTCTATTGGTGTGGATGGTCTAGTGGTGTACATGGTCTAGTGGTGTATATGGTCTAGTGGTGTACAGTGTACATGGTCTAGTGGTGTACATGATCTATTGGTGTATATGGTCTTTAAGTTTGTCTGATCTAGTGTTTTACATGGTCTAGTAGTGTGTATCGCCTAAAGTGTACATGGTTTACTAGTGTATCTCGCCTAGTAGTGTACATGGTCTAGTAGTGTGCATTGTCTAGTGCTGTGCATGGTATATAGTAATGAGCATACTCTACTAGGGTACATATTGAAGTGGTCAGATGGGCAACAAATTCATGGGTTGCAATAATGACTTGTTTCTCTTCACATAGTAAATCTTCAAATGGCCTTATATACCCAGACCATTTTATTAATTTGTGTTTATCTCTTTGTACCATAAACATGAGGTGAGCGTTAATTCTGAACTGGGAAAAAAGATGTGTGGAACTATCCCACAAAACATAAAATAATTAATTTTCAGGATAGCTGTGTAAATACATAAATAGTATATCTTACGGCCGTAAAATAAGTAAATGTACAAGACTAATTGTATATATTACAATATCATTGTGTCTGCCTTTATCGCCTTTTTAGGCCGACAGGAGTGTAGAGGGTCATAACCCCATAAAAACCATCAACTTATGATGTTAAAAAGTGAAAATCTAGGAAAACGTATGAATCGGTACACTTAGGGAGTATGTGTTACATCTTGTCAAAAGTTTGTGACTCCATGTCTGTATAAGACGTTCATTGGCCGTGTTTTAACCGATTTACTTTACCAAAACATACGAAAATAACTTTACTATAAAGATGATATAACAAACAGGAGAATTTTAATAAGTAAATTTGATCACATCTGATCACAAAAAGTATATAGTTTCTTCAAAATTTCAAAATTTCTATACAAAAAATGTAAATTATGAAAGTTTAATCTTCACCTTTGACCTAGACAGAGAACTTTGCGATAATTTCTCGTTGTATTCTGTTAACTGTTTCAAGGAGCGGCAGCAAACTGAATATGTCAATTAACTTTCGAGAGTGGGCAACTTCATTGTTCTGTTTCACTTCCTCTGCTAGCACATCCAAAAGGTGTGAGTGTAGAGCGGCGACCGTGGCACGGTCAGAAAGTTCGAGCTCATCTAAGTGGAAATACAAAAAAAATATATAAATGTACGATTTTACATTTGTAGGATTTCTCTGAGACATTTGTATTTTATACGGTAATATAAACTAAGTGAACACATTATAAGCTTAATTTCTTTCGGATGTATATAAGTTTAGTTAGATATTTAAACGAAATACCTGTCGCTGTTAAACGGGTGGCACATAAAATGGCTATTTCCAAATCTGTCAGCTTCAGACTGTTAAATTGGTTTGCAAACTCAAATAGTTTGTTCACCATGTTGTCATTTAGAATCTTTCTCATGGCTCTTCTTGAATAAATTTCTCCCGACTCCATTATAAGGTAGCTCACGTCATCTTCAAAATACTCGGCGGAACATAGCTGTACAAGAGAATGAAGAGAAATTTTAACTTAATAACCAATAACCTAGTAAATCGTCATCACTGCCTTCCAAACAGGTAGGAGTAGCAAAACGACCCTCTGCTCCGGACAAGGCCACTACCCTGCGTTAACACTCAAATGGTAAAATCCCCAAAGACTGCGATTATTTTCATTCAATCATTTATTAATGTATGTTGAATTTAATTGAAAACTAATCTTTACTTTATCGTTAATGACTGAATTCATTACAACTTCTCTTAATCTTTAAATTTAAATTGTGCTGAATTCATTCAAAATTACATTATCATTCAATTTTAAATTATGCTGAATTCTTGAAAATTCCCATTTCTGCTACTTAAAATGCCACTAAATTTGATTGAAATTCCCTTACTATTCAATTTCGTGTCTTGTGAACATGGTCGGCACATGGTCTAGAGGCACATTCAGTCAATAAATTTCTTGAAATTTTCTCCAAACACAATCAACAGTCAAAGTCCATTTAAGATAATTATTTATCATCGTAAGAGTTTCTTAAAACAAATTAAAAATGTGTTCTTACCATCCATATGTCATAATAAGCCCTTTTCATCAGAACATCTCGGTCCTCCTTTGAGATGTCGTGAATACCAGGGACATTGTTACAGAACCCTGCAAGATATGTTGGAGAACATGTTTAAACCGGTATACTTGTCAATCAAGCGCAACAGTTAGGCGTAAACTAAGGAAGTTGTAGAACTAGTTTAAACCAGTATGCTTGTCAATCTAATGCAACAGTTAGGCTTAATGCAAGATAAGTTGGAGTTTAACCGGTATGCTTGTCAATCAAATGCAACAGTTAGGCGTAAACTAAGGATGTTGTAGAACTTGTTTAAACCGGTATGCTGGTCAATCAAATGCAACAGTAAGGCGTAAACTAAGGAAGGTGCAGAACTTGTTTAAACCGGTATGCTTGTCAATCAAATGCAACAGTTAGGCGTAAACTAAGGAAGTTGTAGAACTTGTTTAAACCGGTATGCTTGTCAATCAAATGCAACAGTTAGGCGTAAACTAAGGAAGTTGGAGAGCTTGATTAAACCGGTATGCTTGTCAACTTATAGGACTGTAGTTAAAAATGTTGGTGAACTAATTTTAACCGGTTTGCTTGTAAACGAAATGATCATATTTAGAGGCGCAAACGGTTTTTATCAGAATGAAGCAATAAATGTTTCAGTTAATATGGTCTGCTCTGTCCGCTATCCAGTCAGTACATAGATTGTTTTTTGAATTCCCTAAAATATGAATGGGTTTGTCCAGATTGAAAGATGGACAAGTCCATTTAAGATATTAAAGCATCACGCCTCCAGATTCAAGCTTATTTTCATGAAGACTTTGAAAAATATATTTAGAAGTAAAATATTGTAAAGTGGACAGAGAAAATAGTTTACACATTATAAACGGCACAATAATCCACATAAATTTCCAAAAAGAGGTCAAAATATGTAAAACCATTACTGCGTTAGTCACGCAGTAGAAATATGGTGAAAAGTACTCCGAAATCAGTCATAACATTAACTATTACTTCAATCTTGAATCTTTTAACTTTTCTTTCTTAAGTCTTACTTAAATTTTCTTAAGTTTGATTTTCTTAAAATAGTTTAGCTCATCTGGAAGCATGCAGCTTGAAGCGGATTCAGGGTTAAAGTCTCTACGCCACAATATTATTATTTGCCGCCTAAATAGTAACAACTACATTTGTATCATATTAAGTACCAGTGCACTTATCGCCCAGTCTTTTCCTTCATCTCTGAAGCCAAAGGTTAAAAATAAGTTGGCAAGAGCGGTCAAAATCAATACTAGCTTCAGCTCTTTCTCGGTAAGAATCAATGCCCTTTGAGCTATTGCCATTTCTGATCTTATAAAGAACGGGAGAACAGAGAGAGAAAAACAGTCTTACAAAAATTCTAAGCTAAAAACACCTGTGTCCTCATTATTAACTTGTAGCATTTCCATCATCAAAAGACATAAGACAATCATTTTACGGCATATTCGATACAAATTAAAACAGCTTTTGAATGCTTGTTTATAAAGGTCATATGGAAGAAAATAATTGACAAAAGGCTTATAATGCGATTTACTTATTTCATCATTTTCTAAAGTCTTAAATCATAACTAATTAGTTTATTCTTATGTATTTTATTTCGATTGTGTTTAAAGCTATAAGCTTATTGAAACACTCTAAAATCCGTTCCTGGAACCAACTAGTACTCCGTATAAGTGTTAAGATTCTAGCTCACGGAAACAACAGTTTTACAAAAGTCCAAGTCGCCTTGATGTTCAAGTTAAGTTTCGAATCGCAAAGAAAATGAAAAACATAATTAATAATCTTAATTTTTTCTTAAGTCTATCAAGCAGATCAATTGAGGTCACAAGAAAAACACTATTTTTTGGATCGATTTCCATCGAATTAAGACCTTACAGGTGTTGTTGTTTCAACAGTAATGCCAACTCAGTTCGTTTTGTTTTTTTTTTGTTAACCCATTACTTCATGAGCATTTTGTGAAAAATGGCTGTTTTCATTGAAAAGTCTCCCGTTACAAGTTCAAATTGCTATAATACTATAAAAACTGCTGCAACACTAATCAAACTTGGCACAAATGTTGACTGGACAATTGCACTTGCAACAACATGATCAGGCTTAAATTTTCTGTTACCATGGCAACGAGGGGACATCTCAAAATTGCCAAAAATCACTATTTTGCGTTGATTTTTTCCATCAAAATTGATTTCAAAGTGCTGCAACTTCTCAGTGGATTGAGATAGAGTCAAATGCTTTTCAACGTTGGTTACATGTTACCTTATGATCAATCTGGGGTCATTTACAGCCTCTCACAAGTCCAAAATTTTCTTGGCGATGAGGGGGACTCCGCCCCCCTTCAAACACCCCTAAACAGAAGGGGGCACATCCCCCTTCTGGCAACCCCCTGATGTATCTTTTGGTTGGGGGGCCGCGCCGAAAAAGAGGTCACTATTTTTAGCAACAATTCTCAAACAAAAACAAGTGTTTGGGGCCTAAATAAGGCATTTTTCATCATATGAGACAACAAAAAGGGGGGGGGGGGAAAAAGGCGTTAAAAGGCGTGTATATGAAGTAATGGGTTAACAGAAAATGATGAAAATACTTGAAATTACCCTAAATCGCGTTTTTTCATGTTTAGACATGGCCTGTCATATAAATTTGAAGAAAAATTGTTGTTTTGTAGATTTTTTTATTTTTTTCATTAACAGAAAATGATGAAAATACTTGAAATTACCCTAAATCGCTATTTTTCATGTTTAGACATGGCCTGTCATATAAATTTGAAGAAAAATTGTTGTTTTGTAGATTTTTTTATTTTTTTCATTAACCCATTACTTCATGAGCATTTTGTGAAAAATGGCTGTTTTCATTGAAAAGTCTCCCGTTACAAGTTCAAATTGCTATAATACTATAAAAACTGCTGCAACACTAATCAAACTTGGCACAAATGTTGACTGGACCATTGCCCTTGCAACAACAGGATCAGGCTTAAATTTTCTGTTACCATGGCAACGAGGGGACATCTCAAAATTGCCAAAAATCACTATTTTGCGTTGATTTTTTCCATCAAAATTGATTTCAAAGTGCTGCAACTTCTCAGTGGATTGAGATAGAGTCAAATGCTTTTCAACGTTGGTTACATGTTAACTTATGATCAATCTGGGGTCATTTACAGCCTCTCACAAGTCCAAAATTTTCTTGGCGATGAGGGGGACTCCGCCCCCCTTCAAACACCCCTAAACAGAAGGGGGCACATCCCCCTTCTGGCAACCCCCTGATGTATCTTTTGGTTGGGGGGCCGCGCCGAAAAAGAGGTCACTTTTTTTAGCAACAATTCTCAAACAAAAACAAGTGTTTGGGGCCTAAATAAGGCATTTTTCATCATTTGAGACAACAAAAAGGGGGGGGGGGTGAAAAAGGCGTTAAAAGGCGTGTATATGAAGTAATGGGTTAAGATACTATTAAGCAAAGAGAATTTCATTTGTATATTGCCAATATTCTCGTCCCTGAAACATGCAACCGATGGAATGTTTGTATTTATAATCGATTGTACTCTTAAATTGAAAGGAACTCCACTGAGGTCCATAAGCCAAAAAGAAGTTGAATTTCTTACAAAGATCAGCTTTGGCACCTAAAACATCAAGATATAAAAAAGATTATTTAAACATATACTCAAAAATGAATTGAAAATCGTATTGCGTGCTGTTCCTAGCCAGGTTTGAATGAAAAGCGTTGAAGCGCTATTCAAATTTGGGTCATTTTTTCACAATTAGGATAATCATTCTGAAAAAAATAGTGAGAAAATATCGAAAACATATTTTCAGTCCCGACATGTCAAAAAGTCTCAGTGGCGTCCCTATAAACTGTGTAATTTTCAATTTGCTTTGTATTTTTTGTACATTGAACATACGTTCAGTATATCAAAGCTTTGCCGAATCATTCTTCACTACTTAATATAAAAGGTTGATGTCTATAAATTTTTTAAAAAAGGTTAAATGTTAACAATGAAGACCAAAAAAAGTAACAATTTTAAAAGTTATTTGGTCTTAATTTAGAATCTAGAACAGTAAGTTCATTAATATAGAAAAGTTACTAACAAATTGACATTTAACCAGTCCAAGGAAATCAGAACATGAACTAATTAGGAACGTTTCACGCTATTCATAATTTCATAATTACTTCTTAAAGCTATATATCTGCTGTCTGTAGTTTACAAAACTCTTGTTTTAATTTTGAAAAAAAAATCAAAAATACCTATATGTTAAAAATGTTTGGATTTTATTTGTCTTTGAAAGCGAATGCCGCATGCACGAATGGTTAAAAACCCTACTTAAAACAACATCATCATATTTCGTTCTAGAACATTTTAGAACATTTTATTCTGTTTATGTACAATATTCATGTGTGTTAAATAACAGAAAATTCTCCCTATCTTAGAATTCTTTCGAGAATCTAGATTATTAAAACGGCATAATTATACTGGCTATAGATTTCATAGAGATAAAGCTTTATAATATAAGTCACGTCGACACTGTTACGCCCATTTTTTGTTGTGTTTTCAGCCTTAATTGTTTGAAAGAAGGTGTTATTTCAGACACGAGCAGGCACCGACCGTCAGTGAAATAGGACATCTTCCTCACATTTAACCCACTGAAGTACATGACGGAGTTTGAAACCATATAGGTGTCTTATCACTCAGTCACTGAGGCCCGTATTCAAAAGACGTCTCGTGAAGTAAGTCGTCAGGAAGTTATAAAGGATGCATAACTGGAGCGCAAAACAACCCTAATGTTGTCTAAAAACCTGAACAAATTGACCACAAAAAAAGTATTTCAACCCTGAATAAATTCTTACCGAGTATTCGCTCATTAATGCTTGGAATTCCGCTGATAAGCTTCGAGTACGTTTCTTTGATGTCCTCTTCACTGTCTGTCATCACTCGAATGTAAATCTGAAAAGTTAAAAAATAAACAAGAGCTGTCAAAAGGACAATACACGTGCTCGGCGTTTCTCAATGCTTGTTATTAAAACAAGAACCTGTAAAATGTAGAATTTTCTATATATTTATTTTAAAAAAGGGCCATAATTCTGTCAAAATCCATGTTAAAAATATGGACCTTTAACAGTGACTTCTTATTATACTCTCAAATAACATGAATAATGTGCGAAGTTTAACAGTAGCATTGGAGATACAAACTATCACGCAAAAACTTAACCAAATGTGACGGCAAAGTCGAATGCAAGGTGAAACAAGGGTTAACAATACAAAAAAAAGGAATGGTAGTGATTTTCATGGCTTCGGACAGTCGTTTTTGTGTAGGCTATTCGTGATTATTATGCCACCGCAGCATCTGCAATGCGGTGGCATATAGCGATTCACCTGTGTGTGTGTGTGTGTGTGTGTGTGTGTGTGTGTGTGTGTGTGTGCGTGTGCGTGTGCGTGTGTTATATAGATTATATAGTGAACTTAAAAAATCTTCTTGTGAAAAACCACTAGTCCAATTTCAACCAAACTTGGCAGGATTGTTCCTCGGGTGAAGGGCTTCCAAAGTTGTTCAAAGAATTTCATTCCATGCAGAAATCTGGTTGCCATGGCAACCAAAAGGAATTATAAGAATAAATTTAAAAAATCTTCTTGTAAAGACCCAAAAGGCCTAGAGCTTAGATATTTTGCATAAGGCATTGTCTGGTAGACCTCTAACAAGATTGTTCAAATAATAGCCCAGGGGTCAAAATTGGCCCCGCCCCGGGGGTCATTGATTTTCACTATGTACATATAGTAAAAACTTAAAATACCTTCTTGTAAAAACCCAAAAGGCTTAGAGCTTAGATATTTTGCATAAGGCATTGTCTGGTAGACCTCTACCCAGATTGTTCAAATTATGGCCCTGGGGTCAAAATCTGGCCCGCCCCAGGGGTCATTGGTTTTCCTTATATGTATATAGTAAAAACTTAAAAAAAATTCTTCTAGCAATTGACAAATGCTAAAGGTTAGATATTTTGCATGAAACATTGTGTTGTAAAACTCGAGCAAGATTGTTCAAATTATAGCCCTGGGGTCAAAATTACCCCCGCCCTGGGGGTCATTGATTTCAATATATACATATAGTAAAAAATTAAAAAAAATTATTGTCTGAAGGTACAAGGCTTAGAGCTTTAATATTTGTTAAATAATATCATCTAAAGGTACTCTACCAAAGTTGTTCAAATTTTGCCTCTTGTGTCAAAATTAGCCCCGCCCCTGGGAGCCAGAGGTTTATCTTATATGTATATAGTTAAAACTTAAAAAATCATCTTCTCTAAATTTACAAAGGATAGAGTTAAGATATTTTGCATGAAACATTGTGTAGTGAACCTCTAGCAAGATTTTTCAAATTATAGCCCTGGGGTCAAATTGGTTTCGCCCCGGGGGTCATTGATTTTCATTATGTACATACATATAGTGAAAAAAAATTGTCTGAAGGTTCAAGGCATAGAGCTATGATGTTTGATATATAATATCATCTGTAGGTCCTCTACAAAAGTTGTTCAAATGTCAAAAATTGGCCCTGCCCGGGGGCAGTGATTCTCATTATGAACACGTAGTAAAAACAGAAAATAAAACAAATGTTTTCTGAATGGGAGAAAGCTATAGCTTAGATATTTGACTTGAAATGTTGTTTGGTGGACGTGTATCAAAATTGTTATTAAACCCTTGGGTCAAAATTATGCCTTGCCCAAGGGGACAGTGACCTACTTTCTTGTCCTTTGATGTACAACAATGACATTTTGACCATGTGCACAGTTTTAGTTGTAAAATAGAACTTTGACCTAGATTTTGATGATGTGACCTACTTTCTTGTCCTTTGATGTACAGCTATGAAATTTGAACCATGCGGTGGCATAGCATTTTTCTCAAATGCAATCTTGTTTTTCTATATGTTACAACGTGGTGCTTATTCAGTCACAGTTATGGACCTTGTTCAGAGGGATAATATCTCTCTATGTTTTGAAATAAATCTTTTCTAAAAGTAACATACCTTTCCAAGTTTAAACTGGCGAATTTTCTCCCTGTGTTCCGCTTTCAGTCTGTTCAGAATTCTCATAGCTATGTTTATACCGTCCAACGTATTTCTAACCTGCTGTTGTTTGTTTTCCTCTTCCATAGATAATGATGAACTAGATACAGTTCCGGTACTTACAGGAGCTTCAGTTACATACCCATTCTTCGGAACATTAGTTGCCACATTGAAGTTACACATCCCACAAGAATCGGAATGAACGTGATGACAGTGGACGTGTGAATGGTCAGCTTGATGATTACGATAAATACACTCGTTTTGTTGATTTGACTCCTTATTGTTTGCAGCGTTTTCAAAATAGTTCTGATATCCTAAAGATAAAACGGGCGGCGGGTGTAAGTCGTTTAAAGTATTCCTTTTAACATGATCCAAACATTCATGTTTTCTGCTCCTGTTTTCTGGACAAGGGCTGTTCATAGATTCGTCCGACAATTTACGTCGCTTGTTTGATGCTGACAATTCTGAGAGGCGTTGAGAAAGATTTTGGGCAACGAGTTGACTTAAATTTCCTTGCTGATGCTTTTGGTGAATTCTTTCAGTGATAACATGAATGGATTCTTGAGAATCAAGAACTTGTTCCAGTAAAACATTAATCAAGGTTGGGCTAAAACTTTTCCTTCTTCTTAAACACTCTTCTTCGGATTCTTCTTTTAGTTTTGGGCTACTTAATAACGAATGACTGAGATTTTGTACAACTGAAGATGTGTCTGCTCTAAAGTTTCCTTCACGTATGTTGGATACTCCTTCTATATTTTCTTCCATTTGATTGGTTATGTCATTCTGAAAGGGTCTAATGTCATTCCCTTGCCTTTGACCAATTAAGTTCAAACCATCTGATTCATGAATTGGGTTATCAACATTACTATATACTTTGCTATATCCAGTCGCCTTACCTTTGAAAGGATTCATTGCACTTTCTGAGAATGAAAAGTTATTGAATGATTCATTCATATTTTGTACAAATCTCTGATCATTTAACATCTGCTGAGAAACATTCGATTTTCTATGTTGATGTAGATTGTTTTTGCCGAAACTAACATTGTGGTATTTATCATTGAAAGGATTTTCACATCTTTCACTCGGCACGTTATCAATTGAGGTACTAATTGTCGTTTGGTTCCCAGGGAAATATTGACCGAATGTGTTATCCCCTTCCGTCTTAAACATAGCTGGTGAGTCTTCTAGGGGTATGCTTTTAATATTATCAAATACGGTGTCTTTGTTTATATTTTGAGAAGATACATTTTCAACAGGTTGTTCTTTTAATCCTTCTATATTGTTACCAATGTCGTCAGTCTTGTCAATAAGAGATGCAGGGGTTACGTTAGTTTCATTTACAATGGCATCACCGCAAGATTTTGGGCCATAAACTACGTCGTTCCCTGTAGAAACTGATGTTACTTGTGTCGAAGAACACGAGGGTGATTTATTTAATGGCGTATTTGTTGTTTTGCTAGCTCTTACTGTTTTATTGAGGTCAAACCTATAGTTGCCACCATCCGTCTGCTGAACAACAAGCTCGTGGTTACTATAGTGTGACCCACCATCATGAAAAGCTTCTAAAACTTTATCTTTCTCGACTTTAGGAATCCGTCCCATTCGCACACCTGTAGATATCATAAACGTTTAAAAACTCGTTACATTATAACGTTCATAAGTGTTATATCAAATATATTAGAAAATTGGTAATAAAAACTTATTTCAAAATGAAATATATCAATAAAACATAAGAAGTGTTTCAAATCTAAGAAATTTCACAACAGTTTAAAACTACTCAGTCAACTAAAGCCAAATACATGCATAACGAAGTTATGTTAACATGGATGTAATTTTGTACACAATTATGAAACACAGATACAATATACCCTTTTGTCATGCTATATCCAAAGATACCAAATATACTCTCTTAGCTTTATAGGGAGAGCATCGGACTCGTAATCAATATGTCGCTAGTGCAATCCTCGGACGAGGTGAAATTTCTCGTGACAATGAAATAATTTTAAGGCCGTTTTCCCTTACTCTAAATGCAGAAATCATGTTGGATTAGTAGTGTGTCACTTGCTTGGAAATCGGTACGTACTGTCTGGTTATCCAGTAAACCCATTTGTATGGACATACCACCGAAATCATATTACCAAAAATGGGTTGAGATCTATACAAAAGTTAAACAATCAAAGAAAATTATACTAGTATATTACCATCTATAGACATTCCTGTGTCCATGCATCTCTTGAAACGACATGCTTTACACTGGCTGCGTGTTTTGGGGTTTATGTCACATGACCCACCAAAGTAACATTTGAAAGTCTCATGCTTGGAGATGCTTCTCTTAAAGAATCCCTGAAAATATAGAAATCAGTTATTTTTCTTAAAGATCCTGTAACACAATTTTTTATGGTTTTATTTCATCAATATGATGCTCAAAATAAGATTTATCAATATTGTAAGTTCTAAAAAGCATTATTTATAAAGATATTACCAAATATAACGTTTCCTGTAAATAAAGGGAGGTAATAAGAAATTTATTTTCCATAAAGTCAATTTTTTCAATAAGAAATGAATGCATATATTTTAATGATAACATGTAAAGTGGACAAATATTTGCGATAAATAGTTTACATGTTTTTCGATGTTTGAAATTTGATTTATAAGCATAATTATGTACATATATAAAATTACACTAAAGTGTGGTAACAACCTTTATTACAACATACAGCCTATTTTCATTGAAAAGTTGAAAAATGATTTTACTTGTTTCATCTTAATTTCACCATCAAAGCTTTAAAAATAGATGTTGTCTTGAAAAAAAATGACCAAAGACCAGCATCACATTTATACGTGATACAATGACGCTTGACTCAATAGCTAACGATAAATTTTGACATGTGTTTGAACAATGTGGGTAAAAAATCTCCTCGGGGACTTCTGTTACTGAAGCACAGTTCCTTGCTTTCCTTCTTGAATACTATTCTTGACATACGTGCAAAGCTTCAAGCCATTTAACCATGACCACTTTAGACAAATCATTATCTCTTCTCCATCTATTTGTTTCTTATTTAAATCTTAATATACGAAAACCCTAACCATATCTAAATCAAATTGGCTCCAAAGAATTTAAAAAAAATATATATATGAAACAAAAGTTTTCTGCCCATGAAACTTTTGCCAATGCACTCATAGATATTCTGTAATCTACTAAAATGAATACTCTCCAGTGTGTTTGGCAAAAACTTTTCCTTGAAACATAACACCTAAGTCGGCTCCACTTTGGGAAAACAGGGTCGGTCAAAGGTCAAAGTCATCATGACCACAAATAGCCAAAATTAACCTTGATCGTAAACTTGCTTCCATGAAAAGCATAATAACATCATATGTGTAAGCACAATCATGAGCTTTGCTTCATGGTCCCCCTTTCCTATCACAAAGCCAAAGTTCAAGATCACATTGACCTCCTAAAAGTGGTACATACATGCATAATGCGGCTCCACTCAATCATTCAATCAATCCATCATTTATTTATACATACATTTATTTATTCATTTATAGGCCAATTTTGACCTGAGTGTTATTATTAAAAAAAAACTGCGTAAGAAATTTTGTTGTCTATTAGTTGTGAAATAATGAGAAATATTAATGAAATAAAATGCGTATTTTTTATTTTCGGTATTCCCACTGTAAAAATATTTTCACTGCAAACATTCTTTCGTAATTTCACCGGTGTCTTTCTTCTATTTAAATTTATTTTATTATTTTTGTTTTGTTGTTGTGTTTTTTTGTTGTTGTTTTTGTTGTTGTTTTATTTTCTGTTCTGTTCTTTTTTTTGGGGGGGGGTTGCTTTTTTTTTTGGGGGGGGGGGGTACATAGTATGCCTCGTCTCTGTTATTTAACACACATGAATATTGTACATGAACAGGATAAAATAATCCGGAATAATATCAATTACGGTGCTATTTTGAATACTAGGGTTTTTGCCGTTCAACAATATTTCGTTCATGCGTCATACCCTTTTAGGGAAATCTTTCACCAAAGTATTTTGAAATTAGTCTTTGTCAAATTTAAAACAAAAAAATATTGTGTAAAGTACAGTCGACAGGTGCAAAGACCTTATACACATTATCGACAACTTCACCATGTTAAATGTAAGTTATGATATAATCCTGCTATTCAAAAGGAAAATTACATGCTTAATTTCTTGTCTTTTCTCTCATTTTTTTCCCTAAAAATGTAAGTGAATCCGCTGGATCGGACCATCAAATCGGAACACCCCGGCTATTATTCATAATAACCTCGGAGTTTATACGGACTGAAAGTAGTTCTACAATGTAGTTTCAAATGTAAACAGAAACAGAGTGTGATCTTTGATAATGTAAAACGAATGTATAAATTTGGTTTACACAGAATCTATTTAAGTTCGATTGTTTAGGAAGCCACGCTTTCTAATCCGTTTTTGTAACCAACCAGTGCTGAGCAATGAGAGTAAAATTTCTTGCTCAAGGAAACAACGACTTTCCCCTGATGGTGTGTAAGCCCATGAGACTAGCGATCATTTGATTACTAGTCCGGCGAGTTAATCATTAGAAACATTTACTTTTCGTGATATAGACTTCTTGCTTCGTACATGACGATAGTACAATATTTCAATTCTATATAGAAATAACCAACATAAAAACGCGGAGAATGACGTGCCCCATAGGCGCCCCTTTTTGAAGCCCGTTTTGTTATCACGTGGTATTTATTTATTTTTCCGTTGTGGTATACGTCACTACCATGAACAGCGGCAACCACATAACTCCAGATGTGGATGTAATATTTGTATAATTTGCACCGAATGCATGCATTTGACATCTGATGGAAAATGAAATGATTTTCGGTTATGTTATGATTGAAAATTATACCTGACAATCAGAATCAATTGAAGAATGCCCATTGTCAACTAATTATAATCAAATCCATTAAAAAGTATAATCAGAATTGAAACTGAATTGTATAGGCTCGGAAGACAGGGTACAGTGATATGAACCCAGACACAACAAGTCGCCCTCGTGGAACTTAAACGCTCGATACTTGCCCAAAAAACAAAGTAACTATTAATAATACATAACCATATATGGGTAATGTTTTAGAGAGAGAAAAAAAACCCATGGTACAATCATTAACGTTACATTGAGTTTCATCGCATCAATAAAAAACGATAGGTTATCTCAAAATTACTAGAATATGAGATGTCTAAAATCTTAAATATTACATTATCCCCGTTTCTTGGCAGCTCGCTGAGGCTTTATAACACGCTTAAAAACACGTGAATTCCATAAAAGACCTCTTGCTTAAACATTGCACTGTAGTTTTGACAAAGATTAATGTATTTTCCCAGTATGGACTAAAGATCTCACCACGTTTGATGTGAATTTCCTTGAATTCTATATCTACAAGTCTACAATTCTATTGCAAGTCTTAAATTAAGAGCACCACATGCGGTGTTTACACTCGTCATTTAAGGTAACAACTAAATAGATTGAAAACACTACAGTGCTGGAGCAGTAACTCAAGACGCTTACAGAAATCATGATCACAAAATTTCGTGCGTATACTTTTAATAGTTATCAAATTATTGTACTAAATAAACAGATTTGACCAAAAATGGTTAAAAGGGCCATGACACCAAAAATTATAACTTAAATGTCCTGAGTTTCGCTTTGATTACGGAGCACTCTTTGATATTTTTTTTGTTTCTTTGTTAACTTCACAATATTTACTTTTGAAGGCCCATTATGTCACTGAAGTGATTCATTTCAAATTTCTCAAAAGCTTTTTATATACGAGTCACGTATCGTTTTCTTTTCTGCCCTTTTTAAAGAAATAAACTTTATTTGCTTCTGTGGGATAATGTATACCTTTTAATATATTTTCAAACTTTTCATGAAAATTAGCATAATCTGGATGCATGCTGCTTTAAGAATGTTATGCGCATTGTAGCTCTTCTCACGTCATAATGATACAACTAAGAGATAGAAACTTTAATAATGAATAATTAAGTTTAAATTAAAGTTAGGCTTTTTCAAACGCATATAATTATATATTTGATAACTTCTGTCATTTGTCATATCGACGATACCCTCATCACTTTTTACAAATAAATAATTATCACTTCTTTCCACTGCTTTCAAAAAAATCACAAAAAGAAATCCGTAAACATTATGATAAAAAGCTATGACAAGTTTTCAGCTGATCTTTCGTGTTTTTCTACCTATTGATATTTGTTTTAAACAGATAAAAAATGAATATGAATTAAAATAACCTTAACATTTTAAAGTATATCAAAGTATCATTATCAATGAAGTAAAATATCTTCATCAATCAAATTCAGTAATTGTTTGCGTGGCGTGTTATAAAGTATTCTCAAAGCAATTAAGTTTAATACCTTAAATTAGTAAGGTTTCCTTTTAAACGATATGAGTTATATTCTCGAGTTTTCTCGGGCTTAATGCTTACCCTATTTATACTTCTTTCAATCCTTAATTGTTCGATTTATTGCAAGCATACTTTTGAAACTTATATTTTGTCTTGCAAGCACAAAAAGTAGACGCGTTAATCCACTATGATAACGCTTTTATTTAATTTACCAACAAAGGAAGTTTAAACTGAAATTAAACATTTCAAACAAAATCTTGTTTTTTTTCACAACATACTGCACAGTTTTGTCCATTTGCTAAGTACCCGAGTTTGGAAATGAAACGCATTTCTGAATTTGTCTATATACATATATAATAATATTCATCGAATTAGGCTAAACACCTCTTACCTTACATCCTTCACAGGTAGCTACTCCATAATGCAAACCCGTGGCTTTATCTCTACAAATACGGCATATTCCAAACGGAAAAGGTACGGCGCCAAGCGGCATATTAACACAGAGCTATGTCTTTAAATAACATGTCAAACGTTCTACTTCGTTAAAGAAGTGAGCCGTGTGAAACATATCCTCGCAGAGAAAATTTACACTAGATAAATAAGCTCTTGATAAAGCTAAATCCAATGCCATTTCATAACATAGGAATTATTGATTTAGTTTCCATCCTCTTTGCTAAAGATCCGCTGCTATATTACATGTAATTATAACACGAGCTAAATGATCTAATGTACTGAATACGTATTATGCCACTTTTGAAGTGGTCAAGCTAGCAAATATCATTAAATTAAATATAAAATTTTAAGTTTAAAAAGCGTTATGTCTGAATTCGCACCGTACAACTTGCGTGTGTCAGAGTATTCCCTGTACGTTATTTTGCCCTTGTCAATCTCGATTACTTTTAAACATTGTAGCATTTTGGCATTATAGGCAATCATAAAACGTGACCTTCATGTTATTCGGGTACAACATGAATTAAAAAAAATCCCATTAACATCATGTTTCAAGAAAGTTCTTTATTGAGCTTGAGTGTAAATGGTATTTTTTCGATCCATCTGCAACAGGGTGAGAAAACATGTGCAGCTTTACCGGGACTCGAACCTAGACCCTCTAAAAAACCGTTCTTCGAATATAACGACTGAGCTATCTGGCAGCTTACACATCTTCTCCCTTATAAAGTGAACCATTTTAATCGTGACACAAGTGTATGAATGAGACAGATGCTCCACTCATGTTAAACTGTTTGAAAACATTGTTACTTAAATGTTGACAAGGGCGGGACAAGGTTGGGCCCAGCGACTGACCAACCAAGTGTCTCTGCTTCGGAGATACGTAATTCGAATAGTTTAATCCTCTGATCATACCTGAAATATGTAACAGATATGGTTTCAAGAAATGTAATACATCACCATTTAATAAAGAATTAATAATTCCCACTATACAGAACTATTTTATAGACCGTATGAGCACGATATGGAATAAAAACAAATAATTCAACAATTAGAATTCAAAGATAATTCTCTTGGCACTGGCTTATATAGAATTATTGATCGAATGGAATACATTGTATCTTCTATAGTCACTCTTTACAGGGTCATTCAAATAGAATACTATTTGACAGACCCTGCTCTTTATCCAGTTTGATGACTTTTAGACATTAAATACTTCTTAGATATATGCTTTATTTTATAATAGTTATTAAAATTTAAACATAAAAGAGGATGATTTGGTTAAATAGTAAATCAAAGTCATAAAGTTGGACTGGCTTTTACGATGGCGTGTTAAGACCAATAGGAAATAAATGATATGTTATATAGACAAGGTAGAATAGGCTTGACTTAAACACCGAGTATTTGAAAAGAGCTGTCCGACGTGTAGTGTGCTCCACCTTTTTCAGTGCTTGGTAGTATCGTAAAAAACCAAGTGGAAATCGTAGCATACTTGTAAAAGATTTCATGTCCTTTATGGCAAACAATTTCATTTTTTTTGAAGTGATTTTTATTTGTTTTATTTAGAGAGAGGGAGAGTAAAGGAAATGTATACATGTATATAAAAGGGAATTAAACAGGACAAGACAACAATTAAGCAGGCCCAAGAAATGCGTTTATGTTTTTATTTCTCAAAAGTTACTTATCCCCCATTTCACAAACCATCTTACTAAATATAGTTAAAGTAATTAAATGTTTTGTGTGGAAGTCAAAATACTAATACTTTTTTGGTTACATTTCTCTACTTTTATGACAAATAATTTTGTATGCAGGGCTATTTCCTTCAACTAATAAGCATATAACATACACTAAATTTATTACTAGTTATTCACGTTATAAACTCATGTTAGACATAACTATTTATTCGTTTCTGTTTAAAGGCAGAGAATACCCCAATATTTTTTCCCATCTTTAGAAAGGGCACACATAAGTTTTTACAAAATTTAAATAATGGTTTTAGAGCATGTGTGATGCTTATCACCTTAAGATGTAATATTACTTGTAATTAACGTAGCAAAATGTAAACAAAGTAGTATTTTATCTTCCATACAAAATACTATATCACTTGCAAAAAGGTTAAAAAAAGCAAAACGATGCATATGATGATTGACCAATGAATAAGCTTTTTGAAACTATAACAGGAGACCAACAAATAAAAAAGCTTTCAAGGAATAAAAAATAGAACCAGTTCTGGAGCATAGTGTGTCTTTAAAGGTCCATTATGCCTCATTTTTATTTTACATTTTTTTCTTATTTTATAAAAAGCTTTCGAGGAATAAAAGAGAACCATGTTTTATGCCTATAAGGAATGCTTTTATTTTTTATTTCTCAAAATCATTTATTTTTATACATGTCCTGACAGAATTTCCAAAAAAAAGTTATTTATTGGCCAATTTTCTGACCTATTTTTTGCTTCTTTTGCTTTAAGCAATTTGCACATTGATAGTGGTTTAGTATTTTGTATGAATGTCACAACACTTTAACATTGGCATTTATACGACAAATATACGTTGTACCACTTCGGGCATAAATTGCTAACGGTATATAAAATCTTATCTTCAAAATAAAATCAAAATACTTTATAGAAGAATTATTTTTCGCATTGTTTTCAAATTCGATTGCATAAATGATAGGATTGATTTCTTTTAAAATGACAACTTAATTTTTTCAAACTATTTCTTATTTACATTTTATAACATTCTTTTTTTTCTAGTTTTAATTTTATATTTATAGGATGTATCTGTCAACAATATTTTTGAGTCAATCCAATTAACTAAGTGTACAGCAATCTTAATTGTGAAGTCTATTACTGTTCGGAACCTTATTCAATATTGTAAGGCATAGGAATTTCTATTTGAAATCTGTCGTAATTTATAGACTAATGCAGTTTCATAACCAATTTTATCTTCTGATTTATAAAATAAATTCCAGAACATTAGCAAGGTAAAAAGTAGTAACAGGTAAAATATAAAATCTTAGAACCCAATTTATTCATAAATATTTCAAAGAAACATTAATTTTTCTTGGGGGATATGTAGCGAAGATAGATCAAACGCATACGTTTCCTAGTGAGTCTCGGTCAACGCCACATTATTATATAAAAATTAAAAGTTACAACTTGCTGTATTATATAATACTAAAGATCAATGTATCCATTTTGAATAGATATCTTACAGTTAGAATTACGTCGAATGCAGTGGTTTTCTTTCTGAATTTACACTTATTCTTATTAGATGTGAAATGTTATCCTAACACTGTCATTTATACTTTGTGGGACACACACGTGTTTGTACTTTTTATAGATATTTTTGCTTGACTCCATTAAATATGCCCTCATTATCAAGCGCATCGGACCAATAATATTATATCTGTTGGTGTTCACAGTAACCTAGTTCAATAGTAACCTAGTTAGATCAATGACCTTAAAGATTAGTTGGCAAGATGTTGACGAGGTGTTATAAGCGGATTTACCAGGAGAAACAAGCAGTTAATTAATTCATCATTCGTATTAGAGGCTATAACTCAATTCGTGTGAAATATGTTATGGATATATATATATGCTAGATTAATAAAAATAAGTATTTTCAAATAATCGTAAAAATGAGTTAAGATAAATCATTATTTAAATGTGTACACGTCATCTACTTCCGCAGGGGAACACGACGCTGTTATAAATTAAGAGTCTATATCCTTACCCAGAATGAACACCCCCACACCACCATCCCTCCTAAAGCAAAACATTGTTGCAACCCAAAACAAACAATAAAAAGGTAAAGTCAATTTCCGCCTTAATTGTCTGTTTAAATGACCTGAACATTATATATTCCTCCCCATTTACTTTAATACTGCTAACAACTTTAAATGCACTGCAATGCTTTCTCAAATAGGGAAAATCAGTACCAGTATTTGTGAACTACCTTTTAACAAATATTTTAGGGGGTTTTTTTAAATATAATTTTATAGTGCAAGAGAATGTCATTCAAATTGATTCTGGAGCAATAGCATAGACAAAAGTTATATTTAAAACAAATTTCATCGCCAGAATTTTACTTAATATTGAACAATTAATAGTTATGATTTCGTGTCAAAAACGTGAGAACCACTTTGTCAATTTTATGTTATAAGCTATAATTAAAAACAACTACATACGTTAATGTTTGACAACCGGTGTAATCTTAACCTTAAATCATATCGTCTACTATCGTATCTACTTAAGTACACTTGTACTAACCTTGCACCCTTCGCATGTTGCTACTCCGTAATGCAGTCCTGTAGCTTTATCCTTGCATATCCGACATATTCCAAACGGAAATGGTACGGCACCAAGAGGCATTCCGTATTTATTGTTCTACTTTTTGAAAAAGTAAAACGCGAGTGCCCTACTTTATTTGATAAACACGGCATATACATTTACTATATACATTTTTGTTGAGCGGTTCGTTAGATAGGCTCTACACCGTCGATTATTTATGTGAATATCATGTTAAGATTTTACGCACAATGACAACAAGTTACTATAGGCCTATTAGATATTTTACCTTTCCTCATTATACTTGAATATTGATTAACCTATTTTCGTCATAAGATCTTTTTGTTATTGTATTGTGAAATGGTCCGCTTACCTTAAAATAATGAAGAAAACCGATAAAAATTATTAAAGGGTCATAAAACAAACAAAAGGTTCACGATTACTCTAATTTACTATTTGAAATATATGAGAGAATTCAAATATTGAGAAAAACTGAAAAACCAACGCTAACGATCTATGGTATACAGGTGCGTACCGGTGTGTACGTTTCTTCCTGGGGTACAAATAGTACTCGTGAAGTAAAGGTCAGAGTCTAATGAAGCTGTACGCAGGTTCATGACTTAAAATGATGTCTTTACCTAAGCACACCGGATATATATTTCTAAGGTGTTGTTGTTGTTGTTTTTGTTAAAATAACCGACCATCATTAGTTGAAAGTAAACTGGTTTATGAATAAACCACCCTAAGAATTAATCACATGAAGACGAGAAAAAATTATAATACACTGAATTAATTTTCCGATTATGGGCCATTGCTGCATGAAATATAATCACAAGACCAAGGTTTCAATCTGACTATTGATCACAACATTTTAAACCAAGTACAAGCCAAACTCAAATGATAATTTTAACAATGTGTCATAAATTGTAAAAACGACCAATCAGCATGCATCATTAACTTTCTATTTTATTAAACTTTATGATATGTATCCGACATGTATATAGTATGTTAATATGATCAACATACCTAATTAACCTGTTAGGTTTTTAAGTAAACATAAAATGTAATAATCAGATGTGAAAAGTTTCTAATGAAATATTTATAACAATAAGTCTGAACATTTATTTTGAAAGATTAAAATGTCTAAAATAATGATTTTCCGACTTTTAAAGAAATAGCTTGATATTCTTAAACTTTAAAAGGAAGATCAAACAAACCTATCATTAATTGAGACTTTCCTTTAAAACTAGAAAGTTAACAGGTATTTTTTATATAAAAATGATTTAATTAAGAATGCAGCTATGTGAGTCTGACTTGATGGAACATGCAGCTATGTGTGACTTGATGGAACAAATTATTTATAGCACGAGTGCGGTGTAAAATGTGTGCAATTAATGCAACTGAAGATGAAGCACATTTTATGTATCATGTCCTCATTATTAAAAACAAAGAACAAAATTTCTATACTTATGCGTATACATGCATTTCTTCAAGTCAATAGATAAACTCATTCAATGTTTGCTCTTTCATTGAAATTATTGTTGTTTAATATAACAGAGGTTATGAATTAACTTGCCCATTATGCGATTTGTTGGTGTTGTTGTTATTGTGTTGTTCTATCAGAATTACTATTTTCAGCATCCTGTCTTAAATCTTTAACTAAATCCCAATAACCGCCCAAGATAATTAAAGAAAACTACAAGGAATATTTCAGCAAGGGAGAACTAAGTTCACTGAATGCAGGGCCCAAAATTCGCAGCCACCTGAGACCACCGGTACAGCAGCAAGCAGGGCAAATTTTTGTGACGCAATATGAGTTCTTTCTTCTTTCTTCTTGTAACAACACTTAATTATTATTATTATTATTATTATTATTATTATTATTATTACAAAGCATTATACAGTTTCATTAACCTTTTTAACAGTATTGTTGTAAATCTCATCAAACATTATTCATAAATTACGATTTTAAACGGAAAACCCCACGGTAACACTAAAGTTCGTATACGAATTTTAACATGCAAATGAAGGCTATAATCAGTTCGTGTATGTGCTACGTCTCAGTGTTATACTACAGCAAATATAAGATTTTCATGTGCAAACACACTTTAACCGTTTTAGCTTCACGGTGCACTTGGCAAGGCGTTCATGAAATAGTAATCATCTCATAAAAATATTAAATTTGTATGAAAACATCCGTTACAATGCGGAAATATACCGTTATATAAGGACTGCTACTTATAGTCATGTTTGTTGATTTAATATTGATGTACGGATGATCCGAAGGCGGAGTTTCTTATGCAAACAGAAATTGTACTTCCGATTTCGCCACAATGAGGTCGCAGATATTTATGATTATAAAACTCATTTTGGTTGTCTTGACACCATGATAAGATCTGGAGTCGATATGGAACCCAATTTATGAATGAAATGTCGCTATTTCTGTTTTCATGAAATTTATTTAATATAGCTTTAATTTATTTGTCTTATTTTCCTTAATTGTCAATTTATTCTTAAATTATTTGCTATTTGTTGATTATGCAACAAAAACAATGTCCTGGTGCTAAAAATTTAACGGCCCAGCTTACACTAGTATCTGTTTGACAGCATGATTATTCCAGTGCTACCGTACAGTTCTGAAGTTTTGGGTTGTGAAGATACATTTTTGTATTTCTAATATATATGTTGAACCTAGATTTTAGAAGATGATATTGAATGTTAAAACAAGTAACAGTACTGAAATGATACTGAGTGAATTGTTTGTTATTCCAATTGAACAGGTAGTTCATTTCAGAATGTTAAACTTTTTGTCGTAAAGTAGTTATGGGAAAGTCTGAAAAGATTCCTTTACTTCTGTGTTATGTTGTCTATGATATATATAAGTATGTATTCTAAAAATGAATTTGCACGCCCTTCGCTTACAGTTCCGTACATGCAGCGGCCTACTTTTAGATCAAAATTAATGTCTTTGGCTAATACTCCGTGTTCATTCCATGGTGCTAAATTATCACCACTTTTGTGCTTCAAGGGCGTGACTGGTGACATGTCCCGGGTTCCGTACTCGACAGCGAAAGCTTTTTTTTGTGCCTTGTAAATGAGGATGGACCCTCATTACCATAGAATAATACATATATAAACTTAAGACATTTTTATTCATGCTATCTTAATCGATAGAGTATGTATGAGTTCTGAGAATTGACCAAAAAATATCAGTGTTTTAGCGTATTGACAGTGATTATAGAGTTGGACTTGTGGAATTTTTAGCTGTTGATACTGTAGCAGTGGCAATGATTGTAGAGTTGGACTTGTGGAATTGTAAGCATTTGATACTGTAGAAGTGACAGCGATTGTAGAGTTGGACTTTTGGAATAGTTAGCTGTTGATATTATAGCAGTGACAGTGATTGTAGTGTTGGACTTGTGGAATTGTTAGCTGTTGATACTGAAGCAGTGGCAATGATTGTAGAGTTGGACTTGTGGAATTGTTAGCTGTTGATACTGTAGCAGTGACAGTGTTTGTAGAGTTGAACTTGTGGAATAGTTAGCTGTTGATACTGTAGCAGTGACAGTGTTTGTAGAGTTGGACTTGTGGAATTGTTAGCTGTTGATACTTTAGCAATGACAGTTATTGTAGAGTTAGACTTCTGGAATTGTCAGCTGTTGATACTGTTGCAGTGATTTTTTTAGTTAGAATTGTGGAATTGTTAGCTGGAATTGTTGTAGTGACAGTTATTGTAGAGTTGGACTTGTGGAATTGTAAGCTGTTGATACTGCAGCAGTGGCAATGATTGTAGAGTTGGACTTATGGAATAGTTACCTGTTGATATTTTAGCAGTGACATTGATTGTAGAGTTACACTTGTGGAATTGTTAGCTGTTGATACTGTAGCAATGGCAGTGATTTTAGAGTTGGACTTGTGGAATTGTTGCATGTTGATACTGTAGCAGTGGCAATGATTGTAGAGTTGGACTTATGGAATTGATAGCTGTTGATACTGTAGCAGTGACAGTTATTGTAGAGTTGGACTTGTGGAATTGATAGCTGTTGATACTTTAGCAATGACAGTTATTGTATAGTTAGACTTGTGGAATTGTTAGCTGTTGATACTGTTGAAGTGACAGTGATTGTAGAGTTGGACTTGTGGAATTGTTAGTTGTTGATACTTTAGCAATGACAGTAAATGTAGAGTTAGCCTTGTGGAATTGTTAGCTGTGGAAACTGTTGCAGTGATTTTTTTAGTTAGAATTGTGAAATTGTTAGCTGGAATCGTTGCAGTGACAGTGATTGTAGAGTTGGACTTGTAGAATTGTTAGCTGTTGATATTGTAGCAATGAAAGTTATTGTAAAGTTAGACTTGTGGAATTATGAGCTGTTGATACTGTTGCAGTGATTTCTTTAGTAATAATTGTGGAATTGTTAGCTGGAATTGTTGCAGTGACAGTTATTGTAGAGTTGGAATTGTGTAATTGTTATTAGCTGTTGATACTGTAGCAGTGACAGTGATTGTAGAGTTGGACTTGTGGAATTGTTAACTTTTGATACTGTAGGAGTAGCAATGATTGTAGAGTTGGATTTGTGGAATTGTTAGCTGTTGATACTGTGGCAGTGACAGTGATTGTAGAGTTGGAATTGTGAAATAGTTAGCTGTTGATACTGTAGCAGTGACAGTGATTGTAGAGTTTGACTTGTGGAATTGTCAGCGGTTGATATTGTAGCAGTGACTTTTAGAGTTGTAAGTTGTTGATACTGTAGAAGTGACAGTGATTGTAGTGTTAGACTCATATCATTACTACAATTCACATGGCTATTGCCACTTCCATCAATACTACCATTACAACAAGCACCACTACTATTACCAATACTTTTACTACTTTGAATTCAATATTTACATATTTTGGAGATTTGACAATCATAGTCAGTGTGATATCAGTATGGTCATCTTAAAATTGCAAGGAACAATTTCTTGTTTAAATTTAATGCAATTTATAAATCATTAAAAAATAATTCATCAACACTTTTCAGACTTTTCTGTACATCTAATTTGTTGTGTACAATATTATACACCCTGTACAAAATTTAGATGAAAAGTGATTTCTATCAGGTCTTGCCAAATAATAATTGACAACATCTTTTCTTGATTTTGAAGAATCGTTATGTTTCAAATTATGAAGAACGATGTACTTTTGGGTGGTGAATTGTGCAGAATGTTAACTGTAACAAATGTGCTGTTTTTCCTGTAAATATACCATTAACACTTTTTTA